TCCTGCTGCACATCCCACCCCCCTAATTCTCAGCACTACTCCATGCTGGGAACAACTGGTGCTTGTCTGTTGTGTGCCCCTTCCCCCATCTTTCTCTGTCTTCTCTCCTCCCCCCTCTCAGTCCTTGTAGTTTATATGGGCCCCTCTGTACTACTGCCCCAAACATGTGACCCAGGCCTAGCCAAACAGAACATGGGTCCACTGTCCACAGGGATTTGTTCAGAGAGAGGACTGAGACAAGCCAGGACACTGAGATATCTCTCTGCAACTGCTGCTAAATTGATTTTGGAAGAGATCAGGCTGCTAAGCTGTTGGATGTGACCCTGGAGTTGCTGGGCCACCTTTACCACCACAAAAGGAAAAGCCTGTCAAAGAAAAATCCGTAAGAGAGAAAAAGAGGCAACAGATGGGAAAATGGAGACTCCTAGTGACCCAACATGAACACCTGGATCCAGCCATGCCTGAAGCTGTAGCTACCCCAGGATTTCAGGCAATGTGAACCAATTCATTCATCTTCCTATTTAGGTCAGTTATGAGATGGGTCACAAGAGAAAGAATTCTGATTAATTCAGCACCATTACCCTCCCTCCCCCCTACCCCACCTGTTGTAAAATTTAGGCCCTGTTACCACCTCTAGCCTCTGGATTCATAGCCTTTGCTTTCTAATACTGCAGGGATCCACACTCTGCACAAAGGGATGCCAGACATTTTACCTCATTGGTGAAAATTAAGTAGAAGGAGAGCAGGAAGGTCATGAGCCCCACAAACATCCCACCCGAGGTCTCGCTGAGCCGCTCCAAGAAGCCTGGCTGGGGGTTGGTCGTCGTTTTGACATGTTCTCTCCTGTTAGTCGTACTGGAATACTGAGGAAAAAAATATTTTAAAAAATCAAAATGAGGGCGCCTGGGTGGCTCAGTCGTTAAGCGTCTGCCTTCGGCTCAGGTCATGATCCCAGGGTCCTGGGATCGAGTCCCACATCGGGCTCCCTCCTCGGGGGGAAGCCTGCTTCTCCCTCTCCCCCTCCCGCTGCTTGTGTTCCTGCTCTCGCTATCTCTGTCTCTGTCAAATAAATAAATAAAATCTTTAAAAAAAAAAAAAAAAAAAAAAAAAAAAAAAAAATCAAAATGAAACTTAGTTTTTTAAAAAGTAAACTGAATTTTGTTATTTGTGTATACTGTTCTCATTGAGTTTCAATTATATACAGTAAAATGCACAGATATTAAGCATACTGTTTGATGGGCTTTGACAAATGCTTACCCCACTTGACTGACATCCAGATCAAGATACAGAATGTTTCTACTATCACAGCAAGTTACCTTGTGCCTCTTTCCTGCCAATGTTCCCTGCTCCCCAGCCCCTAGTGGTAACAACTATTTGAATTTGTATCATTATAGGTTAGTTTTGCCTCTTATGGAACCCGATATAAATGGGGCCATCATACAGCACCAGCTCTTTTCTGTCCAGATTCTGAGGAGGGTCATCTACACTGTGGGGTATAGTGGTAGCTCATTCCCTTACATGGCCAAGTAGTACTCCATCTAGGAGTATACCACGTAAGTTGCCTCAGTCACCAGTGGGTGGGTATTTTGGTTGTTTCCAGTTTTTAGCTTTTACAAACAATGCTTCTATGAACATTCCTGTACAAGTCCTTATGAAGACCTGTGCTTTCATTTCCCTTGGGTATTGGGTAATGAATACCAACGTAGGAGTGAAATTGCTGGATCACAGGGACGATGTATGTGGTTTTTTTTTTTTTTTTAAGATTTTATTTATTTATTTGAGACAGAGCATGAGAGGGAGGAGGGTCAGAGGGAGAAGCAGACTCCCTGCCGAGCAGGGAGCCTGATGCAGGACTCGATCCCGGGACTCCAGGATCATGACCTGAGCCGAAGGCAGTCGCTTAACCAACTGAGCCACCCAGGCGCCCCATGATGTATGTTTTTAAGAAACTGCCAAACTGCTTTACAAAGAGGTTATTAGACATATATTATTAATTCAATTCATCAAACGGTGGCTCGGCTTCCCAAGGGCCATGCAGGGTCTTGTAGGGGTGAGGCAAGGAGACAACAGGCTGCAGGGCCATCGAGTAGCAGGCACAAACAGTACTAAGCCATGCTGAGTGCTTGGTGAGGAGCAGATCCTGTGCCAAACAGGGGACCCCTTCCGGCTGGGGGATCACAGCAGGCTCCCCAGAGGAGGCGGCATTTGATTGGGATCTCAGAGGCAGACTCTGGAGTAAGGGCATCCTTAGCAGGGGGAACTGTCTGAGCAGTGGTGAGGGAAGTGCTTCCAGGAGCAGAGCTGCCTATCTGCTCTGGCTGGGTTTGGGGAGGCCTGGGTGGAGGGAACTGAGGGCAGCTAGACACATCCAGGCAGGTTCATGAGAGGCCTCAAGCTCCAGCGTCAGGGGGTCAAGTTTTATCCAACCAATAACAGAAGCATGGTTTGAAGTGTGTCCACTGCTGATTGAGTATCACCGTTAAGGGCAGAATTCCAGAGCCAGAAGGAGTGGGTTTCAATTCAAGCTATGGGATCTTGGGTGAGCAATTGACCCCTTTATGCCGTCCATTTCCTCATCAGTAAAATGGGGATAAAAACCCAGTACACAGGGTTCTGGTGAGAACCAAAGGACTTAATTATCAGACAGTTCAGTGCCTAGGACATAGGACATAATGCACAGGCGCTAAGGGTGGGAATGTTAACAGCTTTCTTTGCAACTGACACCAAGACTGGTGCCATGGCTGGGGGTAAGCTGACAAAAGTCACAAAGGTGTAAAGCGGTTCTGAGACGTGCACTCAGAGTGAGCCAAGCCCCTGGCACAGGGGGCCAGAGGAGAGATTCAGGTTAGTCTCTGCCTGAATAAGGCTGATGCCATATTCTCTGACTGTCCCCCAATGTCCCCAGCCCAGGCCTGCCAGAGTCCAGATGTCCATTAGATTCAGAAATGGTCTTAACTTTCCATATCATTGGGAAACATTAGTAGAGCAGTTCACTGCCGGCAGGGAGGTGACCATCAACCATCGAATGATGACAACGGCAACATTCCAGTCTATCACAGGCCAATCACAGGCAAGCTATCGCTACCCCATTTCACAGATGAGAAAACAGAGGCTCATCAGTTAAGTCATCAGCCCAGATCACTCAGCCTCTAAGAGGGAGAATTAAGTTTCATATCTGGACAGAACAGAGGCCACTCTCCTACCACTTTGCTCCAAGCCTCATTCCTCACTTCTTGGGCTGTAAGGAGAGCTGAACACTGGGAGCCAGCTGCAGAGAGTGGCAGGAAAAGGAGCCCGTCCTGCTATTAGCAGCGCAGCCCCAAACTTGGAAGCCAGAAGGCATAACTTCCTTCTGGGCCTCCCCTCAGCATACATCTAGGAGCCAACGTCAAAGAGAGGAGCTCATGGAAGGCCTTGGAGGGAAGAAAGAAAGGCACAGGAGGGTATATCTCAGTCTACAGGAAGGGTAGGCTGGGTAGTGACAGGACACACTCGGCCCACATTCCAAAACAAAATCCCAGTAAACATGGAGGGTCTTGGAATGGAGGATGATGGTGATTTCCTCCACCCATATCTCACTACCGGACTATTTCCCTAGCCTGAGGGCAACCCTCCAGTGCCTCTCTTCTTCCCCTCAAGGCCATCTTTGAGCCCCTTATCTTGATGTTGGCTCCTTGATATGTGTTGAATACATACAGGTGTCCTCAGTAAGCACTCTAGGCTAAGGAGCAAAGAGCAACGAGTGATGGTACAGAGGTTGATACACAGGCCCTGAAAATTACTTGCTGTGTAACCCTGCATTAGTTGCTCTACCTCTCTGATCCAGTTTACTCACATATTAATATGGAGATGGTTCACAGTACCTCTGTCACAGGGCACTTTTGCTGTTATACCAATTAAGAAATTCTGTCACCTCCCTGCTCCACCCCACCATCTTCAGATCTTTCCTCCTCACCAGGCCTGGTGGCTCCTGTAAACATGCACCCAGCTCCTGGATGACTCAACAAAGGTTTGACTGCAGAAGATACCCACATTCATACACATTCCTTGGCAAAGGTCAGGTGCCAATATACCCAAGACAGTCTCTCCCCACCAGGGCCATCTGCGTCAGACTGTGAACATAGATTTTTTTTCATGTATTAAGCACCCTCTATGCACCAGGCACTGTGCTAAGCACAGGCTGACTCCCTTAAACTTCACACTAACAGATCCCACGAAGAAACACAAACCCAGAGTGATTAAGGCCACACAGCTTCTAAGAGGAAGAAACTGGATTTGCCCCCAGGTCTGCCTGACTCCAAAGCCTGCTGTCTTCAGCATCTTCCCATGAAGTAGCTGGCCAAGCTGGGCAAGTGCCTTCACCTACTGGGGAAATTGTCCATCTGTAAAACATGGTATGGGGGCAGACAGGAGTCTACCTCTGGGGGCAGGCTGGTCTCCTGATTGTCCTCTCCCCTGGCAGACCCTGGGTCTCGGACCACCTCTGAGGCTTTTCTAGGTGCAGCATTCACAGTTTCTAGGTCTCCCAGACAACTCCAATTGAGGCGGAGCACGCTAGGGCTGTCAGTGATATAAATCCTCCTCTCCAAGGGTGTGGGGGGCAGAGAGGGCTCTTGGGGACAGAGGAGGGGCTGGAAGGAGAGTGTAACAGGCCAGGGGAGAGTGGCTAGGACACTCCAGCAAAGCAGGAGGGAGGGAGTGTCCTGGGGCTGGCAGGGCACCAGGGCTGGCTCCAGAAGCGCTTTCACAGAGGAGGGGAGTGGTGAGTCACCAGACTCTCCCACACCCAGCACCCTGGTGGGAGGTGCTGTTCGGTTGCTGAATGAATGTTGGGCTTAAATCTTAAGTGGAAAGGTTCCCGAGACAGGCTGGCTGCAGGGACAAACAGCCAGAAGGCTTTTGAAGGGAACCACCTTCAGCCATGGCCTCTCTAACCAAACACACCTAGGAGGACAAGGGGCCGGGCAGTGGGGAAACGCTCCCTCTCACGGTCATCCTAACTCCTCCGTTCCCAATCTCGCCCGCACCCCTTTGCAGCATCACAGCCTCGGTTTACATGCTTCCCTAGGGCGTGGAGCTCCCTGCCCGCCCGCACAGTCCTGTCTGTCAGTTGATGGGACAGCTCCACCTGAGCGGTATCGGCTTCCCCACCCTTCCCGCGGACTGGCTCCCTCGGAAGTCGCGTCCCGCTCTCACAGCCCGTAAATGAGAAGCCCAAGGGCCCAGGCGGGAACTGATAATGAAAGGAGGGGCTGCGAGAAGGCGCCTAGCACAAGGAGACCCCAATGCCGGGAACAACAGCTCCTGAGTCTCCCTCCCCGCAAACGTGCGGCCCGACGAGGAGGTCCGGACAGACCAAGAGAGGTGAACGGACGGGCTAGCTGCCAAGAAGCCGGAACAAGGGCATGCAGAGGGAGATGGGGCTGGCCGCACAGACGAGGGGCAGGCAGGCAAGATGGACCCAGGCGGTCCCTTCGGGGACATGGGTAAGTATGGGTGGGGTCCGGCAGACCAGGAGACACTCACGTTCGCGGCCATGGTGGGACCAGGCTGGGCGCTCACCCTCGCTCTGCTCAGCTATGTAAGGGCTTGACGGCCTGAGTGCAGAGCCCAGCGGTCTCTCGCCCGACGAGGAGCTGCGAAAATCCGCGTGAACCCTAGAATCAGGGAGGACGTGCAAAAGTTGCCGCCCCGTGAGCCACAGCTTTTCTGCTCATGCGCGCCGCAGGGCCTCCTGGAAAATGTAGTCCGGGATCAGGCGCTTTAGCCACTAAGTTGCAACACGCACCGTACCTCATTGATGCGCCTGCGCACTGCAAGTCATTCCGGGATATGTAGTTCCACTACCTTGAAGAGTCACCGACCAGCGCGCGGCTTCCTGGGAAATGTAGTTCCCAGCTGACTAGGGCCGGGGTAGGGTTGAGAGGGCGCAGAGGCAGGCGCGCGGCGGGCAGGCCTGGAGGGGGCGGGTCCGCGTGGGCCTCGGAGCCGCCCGCCCTGCCTGAGAAGAGGTCACAGCGTGATCGCGCTGCCGCCCGTGCCGCCGCCACCGCTATCTCTGCGAGGTCTGAGAGCCGGGGCTGCAGCCATGGCCTACTGCCGGCAGGAAGGTAGGCAGGGCGGGCTGCCATGGAGACCGGCCTACGAGGGCCTGCAGGGGCCAAGCGATTTTGCCACCCCCGCGGCCACGCAGGCCCCGGCGCCCCGCGACCCCACTGCAGGCGCGGGAGACTCGAGGCGCGACCCGGGGTCCCCTCTTCGGGATCCTTGGGAGGGCTGAGCGGTGGGGTCGCCACCTCCGTTTTGCAGATGAGAAAACCGAGATTGGGAGGAACGAGGCTGGTCCAAGGTCACTGTGAGACTCGAACCCGGACCTCAGAAGGACCAGCACGTGGGAGATTTCATAAACTAGGCCAAGGGGGTACGGGAAGTGCTGAGCACGCTTCCTTTGGCTCGTAATTGGGAATTTATTGTTTTTACTATCGCTTTTACCACCCACCACCCGTTTCCATTTGTAGGCGCCTTTTAACTGTCCCTCCTGGAAAGTTGCCACTCGGGTTAGGGGCTGTGCTGGAGTGGTAAAAGTGCCACCCACGTGGACATTTACTGAGCCCCTACTACGTACCAGACACTGTTCAAGAGTCTTTATATGGCTTTTCTCACTGATCTCGCAGCGATTTTTATAAGTTACCCACATTTTACCAAAGAGTGGACCCTAAGACACAGAGGTGACTTGGCCTAAGGCAAGTACTTGACACAGTATATCTTGGAGCTGGGGTTCAAGCTTCATCAGTCTGATCACAGAAACTGCACCATTCAGTCTGGTGTCCGCTGGATTCCAGGGAGCTCTCTGCTGGGAAGCCGCCCCCCCCCCCCCCTTTCCAACAAAGTGCCCATCTCCTCTGCCTATCTCCTCTTTGCTTCATCTGTTCTTACCTCTACTGAGGAACCCAGGAGTCTCTTGGCTGGAGTCCCAGGGCCTCCCCACACACTGCTACTAACTAGCTTTTTCTCCCTGAGCTGCCACCTAACACTTACAGGCCCCAGTTTCCAATCTTGTAAAATGAGAAGTTGGTTTTCATTCATTCAACAGATACTCACGGGCATCTTCTCTGTGCCTGGCAATTATGGTGGACACATGAGAATGTAAAACTACAAAGAGAGTTGGAACTCACTCAAATTGTTTGGTGAATAGTCAGTCTGATTCCCTCAGTTTAATTCAGGGAATCTGAAGACCAGAGAAGGGGATGACCTACCCAAGGTCATACATCCAATTAGAGAACAGCTCCATCTAAAATATCAAGCTTTTCCCCAGTACCTCATTCTCCTAATAGAACCACTCCTTTCCTGGGTCATAAAGCCATAATACTCACTGATGTCTCTCCTGGGTACTATTTTTATTGATTAATAACTGTGCCATGAACAGAAGTCCTCTGCCCTCACTACTTTGTTAGTAGGTCTCTTGTTTTTAATTTTCTTTCTCTGGGTTTCTGATTTACTTCATTTAGCAAATAATTTTGAGCTTTTTAGGTATAATGAGGCTGTGCCAGATGAATAAGACCTCTCCTTGCCTGTGAGGATATCTAGGAATCACAGGTTCTTTGGGAAGGAAAGGCATTTTCCATCTGCCACCCAAAACATGGATCTTCATCTTTCCCTGGGTCAAAGATCTCTCTCTTAGTTTGGGGATGAGAATTGAAAGCCCCTGCGTGATCTGGCTCCAGCCTGATTTCTAACTACCCCGTCACAGTTGAGCTACACTGGTGTCTTAGTTGTTCCTTTGCCTGGTACCTCTGTCCCTCAGCTCTTCCCATGGCTGGCTCTTCATTCTGGGTTCTGAGTGAGTCACTTGCCTGAGCAAATTTACTTCAGGGGTCCCCCCCACCACCCAGCTTTCAGGTTAGAAGTTTTGACATCCAAGTGTTCTACGGCGTGGACTCAGCCTCGCTCCCTGGCCGTAGACCACCCACACTTTCTGTATTAGTGCCACACTGATCCTTTCTTTAGTTCCCTCTTTTCTGTTGCTGTCTGCCTTCTCCAGTTCCTCAACAAACATTTATTGAACACCTGTGGTGTACCAGCCCCTGAGCAGGTGCTGGTGAGTGCAGGTGACGTCATCTGCTTCATGGCGTTGGGGAAGAGATGGGCTCTCCATCTGGGTTGAATCTGCTGAAGATTTTGACATGTAAAGATCCCGTGCGTGTTCCTACTCCCCTTTCTGGGGGGAAATGAGACCACTTATCCAAAGTTGTTTTGTTTTGTTTTGTTTTGTTTGTAATCTACTTAATGGTAAGAACCATTCTGTCTTCCTGCTTTCTGCTGAGGTCTTCAGTTTGGTTTCTCCTTTCATTTGTTCAACAAATATTGATTACCCACCATGTTCTGGACACTGTTCTAGGTTCTGGGGATACTGCAATGAATGGAATAGACAAATCCTTGCCCTAGAAGAGCTGATACTTCAGTGGGGGAAACAGGGAGTAAGCAAATATATAATATGTTAGGTGAGGAAAAGTGCTTTGGAGAAAAGGCAGGCCAAGGGAGATGGGGAATGGTCAGAGAAGGCGGCATCTGAGTAGGAGGTATGAAAGCAGGGAGAGGGTGGCTGTGGGGATATCTGGAGGGAGCTCCCGGAAGTGAGGACAGCCTGGGCCGAGGCCTAGAGGTAGGTGTGCCCCCAGTGTGTCTAGTAAAGGCAACGAGGTGTGGGAATGGAGGGAGCGAGTGGTGGGAGATGGGGTCTTGGAGGTGAGGGATGCAGATCTTTCTGGCTGTATTTGAAGGGAGAGCCAACCAGATTTGATGATGGAGGTTGAGAGAAAGGAGTCAAGGATGGCTGTACAGAGAGTAAAAATAATGAATTGGGGGTGTCTTGGTATCCAACTGTTTAATCAGACTTTCTGTTCTCAGTTTTTCCCTTAAGTCCTGCTTTCACAGTGGGCCCTGGGGCCCCTGATTCCTGACCCTTACCAGGGTACTAGGGTGAGGATGGATTTTCTTCTAGCTGACTTCCCCTCCTTGTGACTTTGGGTTCAACTTTGTGTTAAGTCAGAAAGCACTCGCTCTCAGCTTGCCCACTTCCCAAACTTTACTGACCTCTCTAGCCTGTGGTTGTCTCTTTTCTTGGCCCTTTTATCCTTGTCATTTAATGCCATTTAAAAAATTACTGTCCTTCGAGTGGGATTCCAGGTGAGAGCAGAAACTCATTTCACCTCTTTTGTTTAAGCAAAGTCTCATGATTCTTGCCCTGACCATGGGAGGAAGAGAGGCTGAGCTGCCGGGGGACAAGAAGGTGCCTGCGATCCCACAGCTGTTATGTGCTCATGCTCACATTTGAACCCCAGACCTAAACCTCTGTGATATCGATGCCACTGAACCAGACCTCCCGAAGCTGGTCTTCTCTCTCAGCCTTAGAGCTGTGCTTCTGTTCTTTCTACAGATGGTTTTTAGCCCTTAATGTTATTTGTCTGTGAAACAAAAGGAGCTCCGTCTGGATACCAAGATTGGGGATGCAAAGATACATCCCTGCTTAGAAACCACAGTCAGATCACCCAGGGGATCTTCTTCCCCCAGTTTTATGGTACGAATGTGTCCCCCCAGTTTCATAGGTTGAAATCCAAAGCTCCAAGAGTGATAGTATTAGAAGGGGCCTTTGGGAGGTGCTTAGGGAATGAGGGTGGAGCTTTCATGTTTGAGATGAATGCCCTTATAAAAGAAGCCCTGGAGAGATCTCTAGCCCCTTCCACCCTGTGAGGACACAACGAGAAGGCAGCTGCTGTGACCCAGGAAGGGGCCCTCACCAGAAGGTGACCATACTGGGGCCTTGATCTTAGACTGGCAGCCTCCAGAACTGTGAGCAGTAACTTTCTGTTGTTTATGAACTACCTCAGTGGTGATATTTTGTTATAGCAGCCTGAATGGACAAAGACACCTACCCAGGGTAGGAAAAGTGCCACTCAGGGAGGCTTGGAATCCTTACTTTCTCTGCCAGACAGCTCAGCGGGACTGTTCGCCCCACACTTCATTTCTGTCAGTGAAGCCTCTAAGACTTAGGTGAAGTCACCATAATCAACTAAAGGTATCGATAAACTTCAACCTAATTTAAAATGTGTAAGTAAACATCCACTAAGTAAAATGACTGGTAGAAGAGGCAAGGAGCAGCAGGATCCAGGACTTTGCTCTCAAGGCTCTTGGAATCCAAAGGATGGTCCAGATGAAGCTATTTTTGCTCGTGTAATGACAGAACGTGGGTGCCGAACGTGGGTGCCGACAAGGACACCAAACCTCAGTCAAGGACCCAGAGGGGCTACATCGTGCTTTGGCGCGAATAGCAGGCAGACGGGCCTTAGCTTCTTCTTGTACACTTACCAGCTGTGTGGCCTTGGCCGGACAGAGGAATTGAGGACCCCAACCGTGGGGTTCACGGTCAGGGACAGGAGTGCATTTCAGCACATGGAGAGAGAGCTAGTTTGACAAGCAGGAAGGAGCTGGTCACAGGACGGCAGAACCACGGGTGGACTGGAGGCCCAGTCGCCGAGCATGCCAAGGGTCGGCTGTCCTTACTGTTTGTTACCCCATGTGGGAGACCCTGTGGAGGCATGAGAAGGGTGCCTTCCCTCTGTCCCCTGAACTGTCTTCTCTGGAGGTGTTGCTCTGCTTTTAGTCCCTGTATTTTCCTCAATCCTCTTCCGTAAATACTCCAGCTTGGTGTGGGCCCAAACCTTTTTCTTTGGTTTCTCTTAACAAGCCTGTGACGGAACTTTCCTAAGTGTAAAGGGAAAAGAACTGATATAATCAGAGAAAATGCCAGCAGCTCCCAGAGAGCCAAACTTCCGCAGGCCCAGCCTCTGCCCCCATTGTAGCTGACTCACAGCAGGCCACTGATGAAGGCCCTGCTCAAGGGCCAATGTGGATGGGACCTGGAGAAGGCACTTCCCATGCCCTTCCAGATGAGGTCCCATTGTCCCACATCTCCTGGGTGAGAATGGGTAGTCAGTAGGGTTGTTGCATTTGTCCTTGCCCTTCACCAGGTGGGTACCCAGGAGCTTAGAAGAAAGCTCCTGTTCATTCACTCAGCAAATATTCTCTTAATTCTCAGCTTCTTGGGGCTTATTGTACAAAACGTTTATTCCTGCTCCAAGCACACAAAGCTCTCAGGACAGTGTCTGAGTCATGCTAAGTACCCAATGTTAGCTATTGTTTTTATTCTTGTGTGTCCTGGGGGTGGGGTGGGGCAGTGTGGGTCTGGGTAAAGGATCTCCACAGCGTGGCCTTTGGAAACACACAGAGCTGGGTTCAAATTCCAGCCTGGGGTGGGCTCAGGTATATCCACTTCCCGTAGCCCTAGGCTTAACCACCGTAGAATGGGGCTCCTGCTGGCTCCTCTCAGGGTAGGGATGGGATGGCAGGAGCTAGCTGACACACAGGACCCAGAGAGGGGCCGGCCTCAGTCTGCCCTCCAGGAACAGCAGGGGCAACTAATGACATGCAGTGTGTGGGGTGCTGAAGACAAAGTGCTCCCAACCGCAACAGGAATATCAGACAGACTGTGGTTAGCTGATGGCCACAGGTTCTAGCAAGGTGAGGTGTGTGGACAGCTGTGAGGTGTAGGGGAGAGAGCCGGGAGGGTGTCAGACAGCAGACATGCCTGCCTTACCCTTTCCGGCTGGTTGACTTTGAGTAACCACTCTGGGGTTGGGCTTCTATTGTATAAAAAGCCTCGGATCACACTCATACCAGTTCAGTCAACACTGATTCTCATTCCTTTGCCGGTGCAGCCTCCCACGAGGAGCTTTTCCTCACACAGCATGCATCTGGCTCCCACCAGCCTGGAGGCTCAGGACCCTCTGGCAGCCAGGCACGTACGGCCAGGGGCTCTGGCCTGATCGAGGTTCACATGAAGAGCTGGCTTCCTGACACTGGTCCTTGCAGGGCCTCAGTCCTGACCCTAACACTCAGCCTATTATATTTAGGTTGGGTGATTGTTCTAAAACATAACGAACTGCAGATTGTTACAGAAGTTGATAACATCAGAACTTCATGAAATCCGCCCCCCCCCCCAGTCATTCCACGTGTCGGGAAATCTCCCCAGGCCTCGGGGACCATGGGGAACCTCCATAATGTTCCCTACCACCATGACCCCTTCTTTCTGGCCACGATTAGGGGCCAAGAGGCCAGAGGGAGTCTTGATTGTGGGCACTCTCAGACCACCGTGTCCCCAGCCTTTCAGAGGCAGGTGACCGGGATATTTTTGCACAGGGCATCTTCTTGGACACACTTCGGTGGCTACATCAGCTGAATGGGCTGTGGTGGGCTGCTGGCCAGGCACCCACATCCCTGCCCTCTCTTCTTGTCAAAGTTCTCAGTCTCCTCAGACTTCGTCTGCACTCTGAATGCTGTGGGTAAACCCTTACAGGGCTAGAAGCAAGTCTTTTCCTGCATGCCTTTTTCCTGTCCCTTCCACCCCTTCCCTGCGCACATGCACTCGAGCCCTAGTGGAGTGGAGCGGGGTGCCCAGCGGCAGGCACTCCGAGGCCCTAGTGAGTCTTCTTCATTCCACTAGAGTTGTCTGAAGGCTGACAGCTTGCAGCTCCCTGCTGGGCCTGGGGAGGAGGGGAGACGGCGGCAGGTTGATGAGGCCTTCATAGGTTGTTGGGACATAATGGGGACAGTCTGAGTGCCAGGGGAGTTCTGAGATGAGACTGCCCCTTTCTTGATGGGAAGAAGAATTTGTTGCACAACTCTATTATCAGCAAATCTGGGGACTAAAGCAGCTGCATTTCATTGGATCAGGCATTTTGTCTCCTACCTTGGTGCATACGGCATCTTCTTCCTTACCCATGACCTTGGTGGAGTTTTTGTTCCAGTTGCAGGCACTCAATACAAGTGGCTGCTTGACCACACACAGACTCAGTGATACAACCCAGGAAGGGCAGTTTGATGGTCACCTCGCTTTGGGGTTTTGCATAGGACAGTCTTAAAACTTGCTTTTTGTGGCTTCTTTGGGTTTGGGGCTGTTTGGCTGCTCTTGAGTGAAATGTTTCTTCCTCTGTTCTCCAAACACTAGGGAAGGATCGAATCATATTTGTGACCAAAGAAGACCATGAAACTCCAAGCAATGCAGAGCTGGTGGCTGATGATCCCAACGATCCGTATGAGGAGCATGGTAAGTGACACGGGCCTCCCAGGGACCCACGGACCCTTCCTGGGGAAAATGTCCATAATAGTTTTCCCATTTTGTCCTGGCCAAGGTTGGGTTTTCGGGTGTCCTTCTCAGCCATGGGCTATCTCCAAGGACAGTGCTTTCTAGCCCTCATGCTGATGCACTCCCCTGGCTATTAGGCCAGAACCTAAGTTTCTCCTGAACTGAAGTCTTCTGTCTCTTTTTCTTCTGAAGTTTTACACAGACTGAGCTGGTTGGATGCTTCCCGATGAAGTTTTACGCCAGGGTTGGGGGGTGGCCATGGATTCCAGCGTGGCAGGCGGGTTAAGGTGACAGGGATCCTCCTGCTCAGTCGAGCTGGCAGATGGAATTCTGCCACATCTACAGACCATTAGCAAGCAGGCATGGAAGAGTCCTACACCTTGTTCTGTGAGGTGGTGAGGTCTGCTCTCTCTTCGTCGGTGCTCCAGCAAGGATCCTGCACAAAAAGCTCACTCGAGATTGAGGGACAATTTTCCAGTGGCAGGATCCAGCTCACCTAGTCAGAACTGTTGCATACAACTTATTAATGGTCAGTGGTCTTTTGGGCCTAGGATGCCATTCCAGAGGCTTTAGACTGCTGGGCTCACTGGAACTTCCCTGGTGTGTGTTAAGACTGACCCGTGTGTGTGTGTGTGTGTGCGCAGGATTTATAAACAGTCCGTATCATAAACAGTCCTCAGTTGACCAATCTAAAGCTATTTCTGACACCTGTGATGATAATTAGCAACCTTTCCAGTGCTGACTGGTGGTAAATGTGGTGGAAAGAGCTTGCAGCAGCAGCCCATGGAGTGTAGGCTCCTGATTGGAATTTTTCAGATGCTAATTGAAGCGTATGTTCTCAGGGAGAATGTCTTACTGCTCCTGGGGGTGAGAGTAAAGTCAGGTCGAGGCTGCATGTCGAGAGCACTCCGTTGGAAGTGGTGGGAGGCACAGGTCTTCTACGAGAAAGGCAGCTATGGGAATAATCTTGAATCAGCACTCTGGCGAAGAAAAACAAGTCGCCTGTCAGTTCCAGTGTTGTGCCTCTCTTGAGGTCCATATTAGTTAAGCACATTTATTGGGGCCTACAGAACAAATCAGGCCGTGTTTTGTTTGTCTCCTGGCATTTTAAAATTGAATGTGTCTCTGCTGAGCCTGTGCATTCCCCTTCAGTTCCTGCCAGGCCTTATCGTCCTTCTTGTTTTCTGTCCTACCTGCTTCTGTCGTTTATAATAGATCTGCTTGGACGTAGAGGTATTTGCCTTTGCAGCCCCTTATAGTGAATGATTGTACCAAGAAGCATATACAACAGAGAACTCTGGGACCCGGGTTCTGAGCTCTCAATGGCAGAATCACTCAGGAGACTAAGTAGGCCACCAATTCATGCCGGCCGCCTGCATCCAAGCACCCCAGCTCTATGGCTAAGATAGCACTTGGTTCGGCTTAGAGTGCCATTAGAAAGGTGGCAGAAGGAATTTTCATCCACTCAAAAAGACTGGGGGAGGGCCTTAAAGATCACCTGGTCTGGGGGAAAATTGAGGACCCAGGAGGAGGTGAGGACTGGCCAAGAAAGTGGCAGGGACTAGAACTGCAGGGTTTTGATTATATGTTCCAAACCTGCTGCATCTGGGCTTAATTTAAAATGTTGATGTCTGTGTGTGTTTACATTTTGCCCTTGAAATGCAAATTGGCTCCCAAAGCGCCCTCTGGGAGGAGCTACCTCATTCTAGCATGCCTTCCCCTGAGAAATAAGGAAGCATAGACTTCCTGCAGACCTGGGCTATTATTTTAAAAAGTTAGTATTACTATTTCATTTGGAAATTGGCTGTGCAGGTTTCCTGGTCTTGAGCCTTCTGAGGGCAGCATTTGTATACAGGCCTGGTTTTATTGCATTTTGCAGATACCACGCTTTTTACAAATTGAAGGTTTGTGGTGACCCTGTTTGAAGCAAGTCTGTTGGTGCCATTTTTTCAACAGCATTTGTTCACTTCATGTCTCTCTGTCACGTTTTGGTCATTCTTGCAGTATTTCAAACTTCTTTGTTATTGTGTATGTTATGGTGATCTGTGATTGGTGATCTTTGATGTTACTATTATAACTGTTTCAGGTGCCATAAGCCATGTAAGATGAGGAATTTAATCGATAAATGTTGTGTGTTTTCTGACTGCTCCACCGACTGGCTCTTCCTTGTCTCTCTCCCTCTCCTCGGGTCTCCGCATTCCCTGACATGACAATACTGAGATTAGGCCAGTTAATAACCTGACAGTGGCCTCTAAGTGTTCAAGTGAAAGGGAAAGTTTGCAGCCTCTCATGTCACATCAAAAGTTAGAAGTCATTGAGCTTAGTGAGGAAGGCCTGTCAAGAGCCAAGATGGGCTGAAAGCTAGGCCTCTTGCACCGAACAGTTAGCCAAGCTGTGAATGCAAAGGAAAAGATCTTGAAGGAAATGAAAAGTGCTACTCCAGTGAACACACAAATGATAAGAAAGTGTAACAACCTGAATGCTAATACGGAGAAGGCAGGAGAAGGTCTGGAGAGAAGAGAACACCAGCCACAACATTCCCTTAGCCAGAGCCTAATGGGGAGCAAGGCCCTAACTCCCTGTAATTCTGAGAAGGCGGAGAGAGGTGAGGAAGCTGCAGAAGGGAAGTGTGAAGCTAGCAGAGGTGGTTCTTGAGGTGAAGGAAAGAAGCCGTCTCCATAATATAAAAGAGCAAAGGGAAGCAGCAAGTGTTGGTGTAGAAGCTGCAGCCCGTTATCCAGGAGATCGTGCAGAGATCATTAATGAAGGTGGTTACACTAGACAACAGATTTTCAATGCAGACGAAACAGCCTTCTAGTGGAAGAAGATGCCATCTAGGACTTTCAGAGATAGAGAGAAGTCAGTGCCTTCTTTTGAAGCTTCAAAGGACAGACTGACTCTGTTATTAGAGGCTAATGCAGCTGGTGACTTGAAGTTGAAGCCGGTGCTCACTTACCATTCCAAAAATCTTAGGGCCCTGAGGATGGGCCTGGATGACAGCACATCTATTTACAGTGTGGTTTACTGAATATTTTAAGCCCACTGTTGAGACCTACTGCTCAGAAAGGAAGATTCCTTTCAAAATATTATTGCTCTTTGACAGTGCACCTGGTCATCCAAGAACATTGGTGGAGATGTACAAGATTGTTGTTTTCATGCCTGCTAACACAACATCCATTCTGCATTCCATGGATCAAGGAGTCACTTTGATTTCAAGTCTTACTGTTTAAGAAATATATTTCATAAAGCTATATAGCTGTCATGGATAGTGATTCCTGTGGTGGATCTGGGCAAAGTCAATTGAAAACCTTCTGGAAAGGATTTACCATTCTAGATGTCATTAAGAACATTTGTGATTCATGGGAAGAGGTCAAAATATCACCATGAGCAGGAATTTGGAAGAAGCAGATTCCAAGCCTTGTGGACGACTTTAAGGAGTTCAAGACTTGAGGGGAGGAAGTAACTGCAGATGTGGTGGAAATAGCAAGAAAACTAGGATTAGAAGTGGAGCCTGAAGACGTGGCTGAACTGCCTCGATCTCCTGATCAAGCTTTAACTGATGATTGCCGGGGCAGGAGTGAAACGGGTGAGAGGGATTAAGAGTACACTTACTTTGATAAGCACTGAGAAGGGTATAGAATTATATATTATACACCTGAAACTAATATAGCACTGTATGTTAATTATACTTCAGTTAAAAAAACTTTATCAGGTGCGAAGTTGCTTCTGATTGATGAGCAAAGAAAGTGGTTTCTTGAGATGGAATCTACATCTGGTGGAGATGCTGTGAAGATTGTTGAAATGACAACAAAATAATATGACATAAAGCAGTGGCAGGGTTTGAGAGGATTGATTTCAATTTGAAAGAAGTTCTGCTCGGGGTAAAATGCTATCAAACAGCATCACATGCTACAGAGAAATTATTCGTGAAAGGAAGAGTCCATTGATGCAGCAAATTTCATTGTTGTCTTTATTTTAAGAAATTGCCGCAACCACAACCTTCATCAGTCAGCAGCCATCAACATCAAGGCAAGACCTTCCGCCAGCAAAAACTTACAACTCACTGAAAGCTCAGATGATGGTTAGCATTCTTTTTTTTTTTTTAAGATTTTATTTATTCATTTGAGACCGAGAGATACAGAGAGAGAGAGAGCATGAGCAGGGGAGAGGCAGAGGGAGAGGGAGAAGCAGGCTCCCAGCTGAGCCAGGAGCCAGACATGGGGCTCGATCCCAGAACGCTGGGATCATGACCTGAGCCGAAGGCAGACGCTTAACGATCTGAGCCACCCAGGCGCCCCGATGGTTAACATTCTTTAGCAATAAAGTATTTTCAATTACTATATGTACGGTTTTTATACATAATGCTATTATGCACTGAATTCACTGTGGTGCAAACATAGCTTTCATATGCACCGGGAAACCAAGAGAGTAATTTGATACTAGTAATTTGATACTTGAGCTTTATTGTGGTGTCTGGAACCCAACCCACAATATCTCTGAAGTGTATCTGTAGGTATCCAGCACCATGCTGGCCTGTGTAGGGAGAGGTGGTGAGATGTGGGGGGAGACAGCTTGGGCTCTGGGAATCCTTTGGACCTTGGCTGTAGTCCTGACTTAGACCCCACTGAACCACAAAATCTCCTGTGCAAACTGGGATTTGTAGTACGATTGAAGAAGGTTGTCAAAAAGGATTATGTTTTTTACCACAGATAGTGTGGTACTTGAGAGTGTGCCCAGCAGCTATTGATGGTCTAGTGGTGAACTACCTGCTTGGGGTGCGGTATCCATTGACATCTCCACTGTTAGCCCATTTTACAAGTAAGGAACTGCAGCAGCAGATCTTTTGATCATTGAAGTTTCCTGAGCTAGAATGAAGAGATGGGGTTCAGCCTAGGCCTAGGACTTTGGACACTAACTCAGAGTGCCGTGCCTGGGTACTTGGTTAGAGTGAAAAGTTGTATAATTTCACTGGGCATTTTAGAGTCTTACAGAGTGCTCCCAGTCCTATAAAAGACTCATGTAAGAAACTTCTGTATGAATCGTATTTCCCTGTCTATTACAAAGCTGGAAACGAAGCCATCATCTTGAAAGCATTTTAGAAAACCAGGAAATACTATTTAGATGTGAATAAGGTTCAGAGACAAGAAAGTGTAAAATTCAAAAGTAAGGGGGCCTATAGAATATTGCAACTGAACGTCAGTCTGTAGTTGCACCCCTCCCTGAAACACACGTGCTGTTTAGCAGTTGGGTTAGTATGGTTAACATCCCTCTAGGTTTTTTCACTGTTAAAAGACTAGAACCACACCATCTGGTATGCCACTAGCTTTTTCCTTATACAACATGTCTTGGATATCTTCCCGCCAGTGCAGAAGGCTCAGCCTCTTCTTTACCAGTCCTCACACTGAGCTGAGCTTCTGAGAGCAGTTGCAGAGCCAGAGGGGCTTGAGGGGGCAAGGTGCCTTTTTTGGAGGCAGGGGGTGGTCTGGTCCTGATCATTTGAATGGGAGCAGAGCAGAGAGCGAAAGAAGGAGATCAATACCTCAACTCCTTAAAGTGTTGGGGCTTTGAAAAAGCTTCTTGCTAACCAACCCAATAATGGTTTCTTCTTTGGATTAAATGGTTTCCAGTATTTAGCTCTTGGAGCACAGCCAGAGCCATGGGAGGTGGCTGAAAATACAGATCAGGGTAGAAAGTTGCCATTGGTGGCTTCTCTCCAGCCAAGCCAAGGGATGCTGCGTTTGCATAGGCATTTGAACCCAATCCAGATTGAGAGGTAGGCAAGGGCCTACCAGGCAGCAGTTCTGTACCTCCCACATATCTTTCAAGGACTGGACTTGGTTTTGCTTTTTCAGAAACCTTCGAGAGCCTGTCTCACATTTTCCTGCCCATTTTCCCATTCTAGGATTGATCCTGCCAAATGGAGACATTAACTGGAACTGCCCGTGCCTTGGGGGAATGGCCAGTGGCCCCTGTGGGGAACAGTTCAAGTCAGCCTTTTCTTGCTTCCATTATAGCACAGAGGATGTCAAGGGGTCAGACTGTGTAGACCAGTTCCGGGCCATGCAGGAATGCATGCAGAAATATCCCGACCTCTATCCCCAGGAGGACGAGGAGGAGGAAGAGGAAGAGAAGAAGCCGGCAGAACGTTTAGAAGAGACAGCTGCCACTGAGGCCACTGCAACCAAAGAAGAGGAGGAGTCAAGCTAATAAAGGCCACAAGGCACTGGGCTCCAGTCCTTCTGCTTCAGAGTTATATGAACCTTTTGCAAAATGCCTTTTGGTCATTCTCCGAGAAAGTGTCTTTCCTCTGTTGTTCTGTGCACTATAATGTACAAAATAACTTATTTTGATGATCAGGGATCTTGGTCCTTTGCATACACACTGGAAAAAATGTATGTGTGTCTCACATAAATCTATCAGCAAATGTAGCTGTTACTTTTGAATTCTCTTCTCAGATTACCCTGAATTTTGCCACTTTGAAATAATGTGCTGACTATGCTCAGCAAGCAAATATCATTATTTGGGAGTGTCTTATGAGTGAGCTGATTTATTCTGATTGATTATATCCCTTTTAGTAGATTTTTATACCCCTTTGGGAAATGAAATAGAAACAAAAACAGCTTCCTTTAAAAATGCTGGAGTGGGGCCATTCCTAACACAAGAAGCCAGCTGATCAGATACATATTTCTCAAGAACCATCTTGACCTTGAGTATATGAGGAGGTACTATATTTCATTTCTGATGCATTTTGGTTTCCATTTTTACGTTGAGCTCCAGGTTTTCTGTGTTTGGAAATTGGAGCTTTAGACCCTCTAATTCAAAATCCCTTTCTGAGTGAAGAGAAAGGCTGGTTTTGCTGTTCTTGTTATTCCAGAAGCCCTGGTTTGGGGCCTGTGTTCACAATGGCTCTGTGTCAGCCTGTTTAGATGCAATGTTCTTGAGAGGTGGGGACCTAGTTGTTACCAAAGTAGCAGCCAAGAGAAGAAATGGTGTGAATTAAGTAGTCAATTAAAGGAAAACGTGATTTTTACCTGATGTTGAGTGTGTCCTTTGTTTTTACTAATTACAAATATTTTTGATATAAGGAAATAGAAATATGAAAAATTCCCTAAAATTCCTCCTTGAAGATACTGGTAAGCTGGTTTGAGTCTTAAAATTTTCTGTTGAATTCCTAGCAAGCCAGTTGTTTTTGTCAATGAGCAGATCCTTCATACAGATACCACAGTTAATTTGTGAGGCTGGGAAGGCTCTTCCCATCTTGAAGATAAGGAACTGCAGCCCTCACAGGTTAAGTAACTAGCCCAAGGCAACTGTAAGACATTTCAGGCCAGGGTGTAGTAATACCTCGTTTGTCCCTGGTGTATTATCTATTGCCATATAAAAAATTACTTTAAAACTTAGCAGCTTGAAACAAACATTTATTATTTCACAGTTTCTGTTGGTCAGGGGTCTGGGCACAGCTTACCTGGGTCCATGGCTCAGAGTCTCATGAGGCTGTGATCGAGGTGTCAGTCAGGGTTGTGATCATCTCAAAGCTTGACAGGCCTTCCAAAATCACTCAGGTAGTTTGGGGGCAAAATTCAGTTCCTTGTGGGTGGTTGGGCTGAGGGCCTCAGTTCCTCACTGCCTATCTGCCAGAGTCCTCCCTCAGTTCCTGGTCACATAGGCCCCTGCTTAGGGCAGCTCATAACATGGCAGGTGGCTTCTGTGAGAGCAAGTGAGAGAGCAAGATGGAAGCCATGACTCAGAATCACAGTGATTTGCACCAGCTACCTACACACAGTGTTTTCTGTCTGTGTTTTGTTATTTTGCGATGCAGGCCAGTGCAGCATATCAGCCAGGCTTCTAGCAGAACATTGTTCTGCTCGTTTTTGTTCTCATTAAGTTCTATGATTGTATAGATTTTAACTTAACATTTTGGTAAGCCATAAATGTTATTAAAATAATAACATTTTAATAGCCCAAACTATTAGGAAGTAGCCCTTATATAAAAATAAAAGCCTTCTCATTCACCTGGAAGAACCAAAGAAAAGTCACATGCATTAGATAATTTCACATAACTTTCAAGATCTGCTATAGGCCCAGAATAGTAATTTGTAGAAATTACTTGTTAGTGTGATATAAGTAGACAGACTTTTTCCTCTAATCAACCAATGGGGAGAAAAACAGCACATAGTTTGTCAAAATCGGGCATCAAGAAGACAGAGTAGGGCTGTTGGTGCTGGGTGCAGCCTATCAATAACCAGTGTTGTAGCTGGACCAGCCCTTATCGTTCTTATTATATGTTTACAAGATCCCCTGTAGCAGTAACCATCAGGAAACTGGGAAAAAAAAGTTTATTACTTACAGGACCTGAAATTATATGTGCCACACAGTGAGGTTGGGGGGAAAGTTGGGGAGGAGAAGAAAGAGAGTGAGTGAGCAGGCCTGGGGTTATGCTTTTGTTGGGGTTGAGAGTGGGGCCTAGGGTTTCATGGGCTCACATTTTATTGGTGAATTTAAAACGTAAGAGTGGGAATTTAAAGTGCTGGAAGAGAAAAAACAAGTGGCCCAAGTGGTCAGTTATAGAAGCCAACTAGGATCCCTAAAACTAAGCCTGGGGCAGAGGGGAGTACAGCCTGGCTCCTTATGGTGTGGCTGGCAATATGTTTATTCGAGATTGCCATCTTTGAAGGGATGGCTAGGCAATCAAACCAGGCACTTACCTTACAAAAAAGAAAAGAAAACCCAATATTGTCAGGGCTTATACTACAAGGGGTATCTATGAACTATTAATTGAATCACTCTAATTTCATATCTGCTTGAAATTTTCCATAATGGATAGTTAAAAACAATATGCTAAGCAAGAATGTTTAACCACTCCTCATTACCTCAAGTCAGTGGAGGCTCATAGCCAAATTACTGCTGTCCTAAATTATGGCCCTATAGATATTTCTCTAAAGATATGTAAATGGCCAACGTGGAAAGGTGCTCAACATCATTGGTCATTAGGGAAATGCAAATCAAAACCACAATGAGATAACCACTTCACACCCGTTAGGATGGCTATTATTTTTAAAAAGCCAAACATGAAAATAAGTGTTGGTAAGCATATGGAAACATAGGAACCTTGGAGTTTCTTCAAAAAGTTAAACACAGAATGAGCATATTATCCCACAATTTCCTTAGGTATATTCCCCCCAAATTGAAAATGAGTATTGAGTCACTTGTTCATTAATGTTCATAGCAGAACTCTTTACTATAATCAAAAGTGGAAACTACCTAAATAACCATCAGTAGATAAATGGATAAGCAAACTGTGATATATACATATAGTGGAATATATTCAGCCATAAGAAGGAATGCAGTACTGATACATACTACAAGTTGAATAAACTTCAACAACATGCCAAGTGAAAGAAGCCAGACACAAAAGGTCACATATTGTGTGATTCCATTTATATGAAATTTCTACAATAGCCAAATCCAAAGCAACAGAAAGCAGATCAGAAGTTGCCAAGGTTTAGGGAGGAATTGGAAGTGATTTTTTAATGGGTATGGGATATATGGGGTGATGAAAAAGTTTTGAAACTAGAGAGAGAAAGGTGGTGGTCGGACAATATTGTGAATACACTAAACACCAAGTTGTACACTTTAAGACAATGATATGTTACATGAATTTCACCTCAATTTTTTAAAAATTGAAATCCCAATTACAGGGAGAAAGGAATCAAGTACAAATGGTACAAGTACAAAATGGTATAACCATTTTGGAAGAAAGTTTGGCAGTTTTTAGGAAGTTTAAACATACACCCACCATATGACCCAGGCATGTCACACCTACCTGTTTATCCAAGAGAAATAAAAGCATATGTCCACACAAAAACTTGTGCATGAGTGTTCATAGTAGCTTTATTTGTAATAACAAAACCCAGGAAACTACTAAAAAGTCCATTAACAGGTGAATGGTTATGGTATATTCATATAATGGAATACTCAGCAATAAAAAGTGAAATGTTGATACAACATGGATGAATCTTAATTAAGGAAGCCAGATAAAAAGTACATTCTGTGTGCTTCCATGTCTATAAAAATTTTATAAAGTGCAAACATAATGATAGAAAACAGATCATGGGTGCCTGTGTGGCTCAATCAGTTGATTTTGGCTCAGATCATGATCTCAGAGTCATAAGATAGAGCCCCATGTTGGGCTCCGCACTCAGCATGGAGTCTGCTTGTCCCTCTCCCTCTGCTCCTCCTCCTCTCTCTCTCTTTCAAATAAATAAATAAAATCTTAAAAAAAAAAAAAGAAAACAGATCAGTGGTTGCCTGGGGATAGGGTTGGATCAGGAGGGAAGAGGCAATTCAGGAAACTTTTGCAGGTGATGATATATTATTTTAATTGTTGTGATGGTGTCATGGGTGCATACATATGTCAAAACTCATCCAATTGCATACTTTAAATAGGTTCACAGTGTATCAGTTATACATCAATAAAACTTTTTAAAAAAATATTTTATGCCAGGAAAGAAAAAAAACAAGCAGTGTAATATTCCATTGTAAATATATGTCCCACATCTTTATCCATTCATCAGTCGATGGACACTTGGGCTGTTTCCTTAATTTGGCTATTGTAGATAATGCTGCTATAAACGAGAGAGAGAGAGAGAGAGAGAGAGAGAGAGAGAGAAAGAGACAAACCAAGAAATAGACTCCTAACTATAGAGAACAAACTGATGGTCACCAGAGGGGGGCGGGGATGGGTAAAGTAGGCAAAGGGGATTAAGAGTACATTTATGATGAGCACTAATATGTAGAATTGTTGAATCACTACGTTTTACACCTGAAACTAATATTACACTGTATGCTAACAGAAATTTAAATAAAAACTTAAAAAATCAAGCAGAAATAAATACAAGTAGATATGAAAAAAAATGAACACTTAGAAATATAAAAAGGAAAAATCATTGAAAGGAAAAATTCTTCAAAAGTCAAGACCAAGTTTAAACTAGTCTCATCACCAGTGGCCAGTGGTTTAATCCATCGTGCCCACATAATGGGACCTTTGCAAAATCCCACAAATTACAGGATTTGGGGAGCTTCTTTACCAGAATGCAGCACAGACTTTTTTTTGTCCTCAGAGTTTGCACACAAGTAGAGAAGCTACCGATAAATCAAGAATAAAGAAAAAAATCTTAAATATCTACAAGAGAAAGAGACTTTTCAAAAAATCAGTAACAGTAAAAATGACAGTGGATCTCTCATCAGCAAAATAGATGAGCAACAAGACAAAGTGAGTAAATGTCTCCAAAATGCAGAGGGGTCATAGTAATTGGTAGCTCCCAATAGAATCTACATACAATTAAAACTATAGGGGGAAAAGGGCACAAGAATACTTGCAAATATATGAAATCTTAGTACTTACATAGAGCCTTGTTGAAAATTTAAAAATTCTAAAGGACACTTTTTCTTTTCTTTTTTTTTTTTTTTTTAAAGATTTTATTTATTTATTTGACAGAGAGAGACACAGCGAGAAAGGGAACACAAGCAGGGGGAGTGGGAAAGGGAGAAGCAGGCTTCCCGCCGAGCAGGGAGCCCGATGTGGGACTCGATCCCAGGACCCTGGGATCATGACCTGAGCCGAAGGCAGACGCTTAACGACTGAGCCACCCAGGCGCCCCGACACTTTTTCAATAAGAAGAAAAACTCTAGTCAGAAAGAGCTTTCCTGCTTCCATGTGAATCCGAAAATGACTTGGCTGGAGTTTAGAGTTAGCTCTTAGGTGGCAGAGCAAACCACCACTTGTGCTATTTGTCATGCGGCCCCTCCATTTCCATGCCATCCTGTGGGACCAGGTGCGTGGGGACCTGACAACATGTACCTTCACTCTGAATCCATTTGGGCTTGTTGCATCATTTCTGGTTGACTCTGTGGAAAGTGTAGCAAGCCAGACTTGTAGCTACATAAGTGATCCCTGTGGCCCTGTGAGCCACCACCCTGCTGATTAGGGACTATTTGACTGCTTGACAGTGGGTGAAGGAGAATGACCAAAGGTT